ACTAAAAATACAAATATTAGCCAGGTGTGGTGGTACATGCTTGTAGTCCCAGCTACTCAGGAGGCTGAGGCAGGAGAATCACTTGAACCCGGAAGGCGGAGGTTGCAGTGAGCCGAGATAGCGCCACTGCACTCTAGCCTGGGCAACAGAGCAAGACTATTTCAAAAAACAAAAAAAGAATATTGTGAAGCGTTTCCAAGAGAAAAACTCAGAAGACAGAGCTATGAAACAAAAGACAGTGAGTGTAACATAGCAGGGGGTTAGGGGGCGGTGCAGAGGGGGTTAGTGGGATGGGAGAGGTAAAACTGGTATAAATCTTCAGGCATCTGATGGTTTGGCTAGTTTAACAGGGATTATACACGTGGAAAAGAATGATAAACCAATGAAGAATTTGCAACAAAAATTTAAATCTACAAATAGAAGATATTTGTAAGACCTAGAAAAATAATCAAAATTAATTTTTATCCGGTGGTATCTTTGGTCAATACAGAGGAAAAACTTCACACAAACCAAAATGAAACAGGAGTAACCTGGAAGGTTCTAATCCTCTGTCTGATGAAACTAACATAGGCAACAAAGAGGCAGAAAATAAAACTATTTCTCGTTCTTCAGATAAGCTCCTAATGCAATGGGGATTAGATGCATATAACTTCAAGATCATATTTGCAAGCAGGAATAAAAGAAATGTAAAGGTAGAGATATTTTCTAGTCTACCTAGTAAAACAGAGATACCATATGCAGAGAAAGTTTAAGAGGAGCCCATGCAAAAAATCCGTAAGAACGTTATAAAAGATAGAGCAATCAATTGTAAATCAAGTTACCTTTGAGGTCCAGGGACTCAAGTGAGGTCTTTCCTACAAACACAGAGGATATGATCTTTTAACTAGTACAACAAGTAGAATGTCTGTGAGCAAGGATAGGAAGAAAACAGGCGATCATTACTCACAAAAAGTGACACACACACAGGATACCACAAGAATGCCTGTGAGAAAAAAATCCAGTAGAAAGATGTAGTAGTCTATGAAGAAAGAATATGCTTGAGGTTTGGAAGCCAAAATAAGATCCCTGTCATTACTAAAATGCAAGGGTCTAATTATTTGTCCTAATATAGCAGAGAACACATCTTTGGGGAAAGATGGGGAGAAAAGTGCTGATAATCCCTCTAGGAAAATCCAGGTGAGAAAGCAGAAGATAAAGAGGTAGTAGTACATCTGGATCTATTACATTTGAGATTTAGAACAGTCCTAGCTGGACACCTGAAAAGATTTGATTGTCCAGCATCACAGAGAAAAGCTCCATAGATAATAACAAATAAAAAAAGTTTACAGTCCTTTAGTAGATAAAGAGGAAAAACCACACCTGCGTCAACATGGAAAAGCTACAGAAGTCAGATGCAAAGAGAAAACAAAGGAAGCACGTTGGAAAATACCATTTTACTAAAAGAAGAAACTGTGCAAAAGGTGAAGCCATAACCAGAGAGAGAAGAAAGCACAGCAGAATAACGTGGAGTTCTAAGAGATGTGTTTCTGAGGAAACATCTACTGAAAATCTAAAGCAGGATAAGAACAATCACACAAAAAGGAAATAAGAACAGCAAGATATCAGATAAGATACTCAGCTAAGAAGCTGAAGAGGAGATAAAAATAATACTGTCTGGTTTGGAGACAAACATAAGTATCTCCACCATCGTATAATTTTTGCCATAAAATTAATAAAAGTGGGCTGGGTGTGGTGGCTCATGCCTGCAATCCCAGCATTTTCAAAGACCAAGGTGGGAGGATTTCTTGAGCCCACGAATTTGAGACCAGCCTGGGCAGCATAGTGAGACCTTGTTTCAATGAAAAAAGTTAAAAATTAGCCAGACATGGTTGTGCACTCCTATACCCAGTGACCAGGAGGCTGAGAAGAGAAGATCGCTTGAGCCTGGGAGGTTGAGGCTGCAGTGAGCTGTGATCACACCACTGCACTCCAGTGTGGGTGACACAGAAAGATATTGTCTCAAAAAAATAAATAAATTTAAAAAGTGAGTTATGTAAATAAAAATGAATAAATAATAAAATTAGGTTCTACATGTAATTAAGTATGACAAAAGTATTGGTTTTACTTGATATTTGGTTATTTTTACAGGCAAAATTTTACAAAGGAATACTGTAACTTTTCTGGTATTACCCATGTGGAAGAAAGAATGGCCTAATTGTCATTAGCTGTTGCTGATTCATTCTTTGGTTGACAAAATACCTTTCCTTAGTCTACCAGTTATTAGCCTTTTCATCAATGCATGAAAGGAGAATGAAAAAGTAAATCATAAACTACTGAGGTCAGATATGAACTTGCCAAATATTCTATTATTGATCGGTTTAGGAAACTTACACTTTTGAAGAGATGGTTAATACTTGCTGCTCAAAATAAAACTCAACATACATCATTATTTCTCTCAAGCTGAAAACCCAAATTAATTACAATTCATAAAATTTTTAGTAAAAGTCAGATCAGAATATTGTATAAATCTAGACATCATATTCATGTTATATGAGTTTCAGCTTTGAATTGTTTCCTTTATTAATTCCACTTGAGAGAAACTGTATACAAAAAGTACAACATTAAGGTACTTAGCATATTGCCTTTCAAATTGTTAACTGAGTCCATTTCCTTAATATTCCCTCTGGCCTTTACAATTGAATCTTGTTTTCCTTATAGAGTACATTTCATGCCCTTTGACATAATTGCCAATGCCATTTTCCATGGTTGAAGCACACTCACGTTTGCAGAATGTGGCAATTAATGGCCTCTTAAAACTATCATTCTATCTCAAGAAAACATTTTCCCCTTGGTTAAGATATCGAACACCCATAACAAATTGCTTCTAAGCAACTGATGATTACACACACACACACACACACACACACACACACACAC